TGGCCTCGAACTCACAGAGATCTGCCTGCCTCTGCCTCCCAAGTGCTGGGATTAAAGGCGTGTGCCACCACCACCCGGCTAAGAAAAATTTTTGACAGACTTAGAAAAACAAACAAAAATCCTCTAACTGTTGTTCCCCAATTGCTCTACAGTTTAAAAATCTCTTTTTGTCAGTTCCTGAATGGTTCAAATTCTCAGACTTGAAGGCATTGGGACCCCTGGCTAATGTTTATATTGCTAAGCCACATAACTTTCTTGACTATATCCCTCCCCCAATTAAATCTGAAATGGGTTTTGGCCAAACTAATAACTCCTATTTCAAGTTACATTTAGTGCCACATCTAAAAATCCCAGTGTGAATTCTATCTGCACAGTGATCTCTTTCTTTCCCAAAGACGACTCCAGCTTTTCACCGTATAAGCTGAAATTACCCAAAGTCCATATTGAACCATCCACCTCGATCCTCTGGGCCATTACTTCATACAGAAAACCTTCAGGTGAAATAAAAACTAGTGTTGTGAACCTTGCCCTTTAATTAGTCTAAGCTTCTTAAAGAGCGGTGGTGGTGTGACCCCAGAATGGAGGCAACAGTGCTGAAATTAAACATTCCTTCTAAATGGCTCGGGAGTCCTAAGCTATGAGACTCCTGTCAACCCCCTGAGAAGATCAATAGAGCAACAACTGGGCATATAAGACAGAGCTGTCCACTGAAAGTCTGGATAATGAAAATTCACAATGGGCAGTAGTCTATCTGGAGAGGAAGAAAAAAAGAGTTCTTTTACCTGTGCCTCTGACTAGGGCAGATTGTCCAGTGAACAGTGACACCCACTAAAACTAACATTCACACGTTCACAAGTGTTTAGATGACTTCATACAAATGAGATTATTCTCCTTAGGAATCACTGCAGGGCTGATCATATGCACAAGCATCCTAGGGTTTCCCTGAATAACTTTTTACTTTAAGCAGCTTAACTTTTATTTTGTGATGGTTGAAATTGGACCCGGGGCCTTTTGCGTATGTTGGCAAGTGCTCTGCCATTGAGCCTTGTCCCAGGCAGTGAAGGTTCCGAAGGAGTTTTATGGGCAAAGCCTTTTGTCATTTACTGGACAGCACATTTATTTATCCATGACTTTTGATTTGCTTCATTAAAGTGAATGCTCGTCTTTTATACATTATTGATAGAAAAATTAAGCTTGAATATTACTGACTCTTCCTAATAGATCCACAGATACAGTGAGTATACTGTTTCTAGGTTGCAGTTCTATACTGGATTAGAATTTCTTTCAACAGAAAAGTATTTATCTTCTGGCAATTTATCAAAGTAAATATCTCCCATGGCACAGTATTATTAAATATTTTTCAGAGTTGAAATTCCCCAGTCTCCTTAGGCAGAATTAACAGCCCTTTGTTCACACATTCATCTCGGTCTTCTCACATTCTTAATAGGTGTCATTATCAATGTATCTTTTATTCCCACCTGATTGGGACCCACTGGAGGATGGGGTACAGATCTTATTCATCTCTTCATCTCTAAATAAGTCCCAGTGACTTTCAGGGATGACTACATTAAAGATGAATAGCTTGTGAAAGCTTACAGCCACAAGCTTGTATTCTGCTCCCCTCTATCTGGTCCCCATAGCAACGCGCATGCCAAAGAAGTGGGGTAGGGTGCTGGAGTCTGGAGACAACTCCCGCAGAGTCTGTCTCAATCCCGAAGTTCTTTAGGAGTTAGAAACGAGGCAGCCCCATTGTGTAGGTTGTTATTCGGGCTTCCAGGCCCAGGATAATCTGAAATGTCTGTATGCCCTGAATCCCATCACCTCTGAGCACACCAAGGTTTTACATTCAACTCTAACCCATCCGTGAACTAAGAAACTCAAGTCCAGAAGGCCATGACTCACAATGTCAGATAATCAACAGCTTCTGTTCTTTTTTCCCCCTTTCCTCCCCTTGGAACTTTTGGGCAGGTCTTTTTCCCACAAGGGGCTTTCCTTAGCCTGGACATGATCACTTATCCCAGCAGCCAATTAGAATTTCCCACATACGTTCAAATTGGCCAACCAGATTTGCTCTAACTTGATGCCTAATTTACATGTGTTTAGGACCAAATTGGCCTGTCCTCAGAGTATAAGCCCAGCTCTAGAAAACAAATAAACCTAATTGACAACTTACTTCTGAGACATCCTCCATCCCATCCCTGCTACAAGGAGCTTGTCTGCTACTGTCAATCAAACCGCTTTTCTAAACAATGCTCCTGATCCTAAGAATAGAACCTATGGTCTGAGTGGAGACCTAAAGTTCTAGGTGGGCTGGTTTAATCACTTTGGCTGAGGACCACATTCAGGAAGGTGGGCTCACCTTAAGCCATGCTGAAGAGATGGGTAGAATAAATCAGTCCTTTAATAAAACAGTATACTGTTCCTTCCCAGAATCCCTGTCACTACAACAGAAGTTTACTGGTCACAGCCATTTGAGGGTATACATCTGCCTGCTCACAAATTTACCTTTTCTTCTCTTCCCTCAGCCAACCTGATTCAGCAGGAATAAGGGTCCCCATCAGTGAGGTGTTGAGTTTGTAGGATCAGGGACAAGAAATAGAGAAGACTAGAAACAAAGAAAGCAAAAACAATAGCTGGGACCAGAAGGTCTTGCATAAGCTAATGACTTATGCCAAGCAAATATGTTAAGAAGTATACCATCTTATATACTATTAGCAGAGTCGGGGCTCAGAATGACCAAGGTCAGCATAGAGGTTAGCCAATGTTGGCAAAGAGAACATAGGATACCTCAGACACAGCAGCCTTGGGACTGACAACCACCCAGGGGGAAGAGTTGGGTCCCCAGAAGCACTCACTCCAGTGTCAGACCAGCCTTACCAAGTTCGCTCCTGGACATGGACACAGAACGACAGCTCCCTTTGTCCTTTCATCAGGGCCTCTGAGAAAGTCTTAGGTTGACCCGGCTCTGTAGCTAGAGTTTTCCTGCCTGGCCCACAGTCAGGACAAATCTCTGTCACCCGCCAGTCCCACAGCCGCTCAGACCCAACCAAGTAAACACAGAGACTTATATTGCTTACAAACTGTATGGCCGTGGCAGGCTTCTTGCTAACTGTTCTTATAGCTTAAATTAATCCATTTCTATAAATCTATACCTTGCCACGTGGCTCATGGCTTACGGGCATCTTCACATGCTGCTTGTCATGGCAGCTGCTGGCAGTGACTCTTTCTGCCTTCCTGTTCTTTCTTTTCCCCTCTCTGTTAGTCCCGCCTATACTTCCTGCCTACCCACTGGCCAATCAGTGTTTTATTTATTGACCAATCAGAGTAAATTGACATACAGACCATCCCACAGCACGGCTCCCCACACTAAGTCTGCTTTCCTTAACACTTTGAGCTTTCCCCGAAGTATTTTGGGCATCTTTACTCTTTATCTAAAGCTGCCTCCCTCCTAGCCACGTGACTGCTTGCCAGCCACATGTCTCCATGCCAGCTGACATGGCATGGCCTTTCCCATCTCACCTCCAGGCAGCTGCTGCAGTTTTACAGCTTGCCTGCCATGCAGTTTTTCTTCTAAATGCTAATAAAATTATTCTTGAGCTTCCATTTGTGTTCTTAAATTGTTTTATTAATGAGTCTAATATCCCCAAAGGGTCCTCAATTTTTCCTGTATCAAAACTTTTCCTAGCCTGGCAGTGGTGGCGCACGCCTTTAATCCCAGCACTCGGGAGGCAGAGGCAGGCGGACCTCTGTGAGTTCGAGGCCAGCCTGGGCTACCAAGTGAGCTCCAGGAAAGGCGCAAAGCTACACAGAGAAACCCTGTCTCGAAAAACCAAAAAAAAAAAAAAACCAAAAAAAAAACAAAAAACAAAAACTTTTCCTGAAAAAAAAAAAATTAAAAAAAAAAAGGAGTCTAATATCCCCAAAGGGTCCTCAATTTTCCCTGTATCAAAACTTTTCCTGAAAAAATTTTTTTTTAAAAAAAGGAGAGGAGGACACCAAGTTGGGTGGGTAGGGAAGGAGGGATGCATGGGGGGAGGGAAGTGTAGGGAGGGATGGATATGATCAAAATACATTGTAAGAAATCCTCTAAGGACCAAATGAAGCAAAACTAACCCTTCTTTGCTCTTTCTTGCCCTTGCTCTTCATTTCTTCATAGTCTTGAGACAATAACTGAAGTCACTTGCTTGGGGTGGCTTTGGTGGCCCTTGAGTTTCCGGGACTGGAGTACCCCAAGCTTAGTCTACCAAGAGCCATGAAAAGCTTGGCTGTACTCCAAGAACCCCACAACATTCTTAGATCTTCTCCAGCTTCGATTCCATTACTTTCATGACTCCTAGATTTACAACAGAATTCTCTTCTGCACGTGGCAGCCGCTGCACAGAGTGGCAGCTGAGATCCCTGGCAGCTCAGCACAGCATGAGGCAGCGGATGGCCCCTGCTGATGACAGACTCTCAGGTTGCCCACTGCAGACTTTCCTACTGTATCCGGCTCACAGCCTCACCTCTCTCCCTCCTTTAGTTCCACTCTGCTGTCTCTCTTCTTTGCCTGCTTTGCTGTTCCAAGTCCCCTGCTTGTGCTTAGGTGAACCCAGGAGCTAAAAGTGTTGCTGATCGGGAATCACGATGCTGATTGTGAACTTGACTGGATCTGGAGTCAACTAAGACGCATGCCTCTGTGCAGGTCTATGAGGACATTTCCCGGAAGTATTAACTGGTAGGTGGAGGGGAGACTCGCCAGAGCGGAAGTGGCTCACATAGCAGTTCCAGGGGAAAGCAGAGGTGGTTTTACCTCTGCAGTATGTAGACAGCTATGGTTGATTACCTGGCGTTTATTGTGTAAGACTAAAATAAACCCCTTCCCCTAATATATGTTCCCTGTATTGGTTCCCTGGGAGAAGAAGTACCCAGCAGAGTCCCATCATACTCCTCTCGCTGGTCCAGGACAAAGATTATCCACGTGTTTTAAAGACTCTCGCCTGCATCTTCAAAATCTTCAAATGGGGCAGGAAACAGCTACCAACAATTACTAAGAGTGGGCCTGGAAGATGAGATTTGTGGACAGTCTCTGGGGAGTTTGATGTTCTGAGGAGTTTGATGCTCCTGGCTCCTGGGAAGAATTACTTAAGTATGCTAATAAACTGAAGAAGACGAAAAAGGTTTCTTTTTTCCTTCCTGGCTCCCCCATTCTGAATGACGGTATGAGCATTCTCAGGGAGCACTGCTTGAAATGGTGAGTACCAGCATCCTGAACCAGCAAAGAAGAGTACTATGATGCATCCACTTCCATAAGATGTATCTTTGCCACTCGCCTTTTTCCATCTGGCCAGCTACTATCACAGTATCTTCAGTGTCATCAGTAGGATCTGTAAAGTTGATTTAGTTGATCAGAAAATTAAGTAGGGTATGATTTCATCAGAATTGTGAGCCCAACATTATGCTCCACACTAGACATTTAGAGAAAATGTACACAGTCATTAATCGTAGACAACAATCTAGTATCTAAGAAATACAATATTCTTTTTGTGCCTCATTATTTTAGTGAACCAGTAGGCAATGTTGCCCATGTTCTTTTATTTTAAAAATAGAGTACTTCTTTCTTTTAATTACACCATGAAATCTTAAACTGAGATTTTTTTTCAAAGCCTAAACTGGCATAAATATTTTCTGGGGACTCCCAAAAGTTTCTCATTAGAGAGGAAATGGAATTAGGGTGTGTGATATAAGTTCAAATAATTAAATATCGAATGTTGCCATTCCAAAGAGTTTAATAATCTATGGATTATGGGTATCTAACACACAAAATTGGGACAAGCAAGGAGAAAATAATAGACTAAAACGAAACAATTATATAATGATATGAGACTGTGCCAGCCAGACACTAAGTTTCCATAATGAACATTTCAGGATGATTTGTGACAAACAGAAACAGTGAGGCTGACACAAACATAAGGGAGTAGCAACTTGCTCCCTGTGCTTAAAAAAAAAAATGGAAAGGGAGTCACCTTGCGAACAGGGTGTCAGTGGTGGGACAAAGATGACAGATTGGAGGGGAGCACTGATCACTCGGCCTGCCCTGAATCATCACATGACTCCAAGGTGTCTCCTGCTCTCTTAGCATGGATTCAAATCCACACAGCTCCCTGCATCTGGCTACTGGTCTTTGGTTCTCTAAAACCTGTTTCCTTGATATCTGTTACATCAACAAAAGTAAAGGTGGTTTGGGGTTTTTTCGTTTGTTTGTTCATTTGCCTGAGTTAGATTCACAGATGTATTTTGGAAAGACTCCCAGCTGTTAAATTTTTAAGGTGGTAGAGGTACTATTCAATACATAATTTATAACTAAATAAATCCAAAAAGATGGTGCATTTTCCCTAAATTTGCTACACACACACACACACACACACACACACACACACACACACACACACACACACACGTCCATGAATTGGTCTGTTTTCTAGTTGGTGTTCTTTACTCAAGGGTGAGGTATGTAGCCCTTACTGATGCTCACTTGTCACACACAGCATCATTAAAGTAAAAGAGATGCCCACGATAGAGAAATGCATTCTGTGACAAAGCATTTCTCAGGTTGTAGCCCACAGGCTGCCCACCTCAAAATCCACATGAAAAAAGAAAGCACATAAGTACTGGTTCCTAGGCTGTACCATGGAACTACTAAAGACTCTTGAATCTGCGTTTCAGGAAAGTTCACAAATGATTGCTTAAAGCATTGAAGTATGAAGGGTCTGACCATTCAACAGGAATTGCTGAACAGGAAGGGGCTTTTCCCATGCACTGGCTGAAGTATTTCAAGTATTTCACCCCAGCCAATTCCATCGACAGCAGCTTTCCAGTAATTCCAAGTTTAGATCACTGGGAAATTTGGAGATTGGTATGAGGCCTCCAATCTCAGTCTAGTGGACCTAGAATCATCCTGAGTGTCCAAGGCTTTCAAAAGTCACACTTATGCATCTCACAGTTCTAGGACTTTACTGACATGACATAGTCATATATTTATTTATTTATTTATTTATTTATTTATTTATTTACTTACTTATTTATTTATTTATTTTGGTTTTTCGAGACAGGGTTCTTAAGTCCTCTCCAGGCCAGATGTCAGCCCTTCACAGTGCAGACAGGAATGCTGGTAGCTCCTTCCTGGAGCTCTTGGCTGCCTGCCTAACTTGTGATTGTTGACTGATACTTCTAACTCTGTGAGAGCAGCTCCGAGGGGATTTCATTAGCGAGTGTTTCCCAGTACAAGCTGAGCACCCATAATTACGCCAGCCCACTTTAGTCAAAGGCAGATACAATCAACACCTAGCCAGACAAGCTGAAAGCTCACACTTGGCTGCTGAGGGACAGCAAGGCCATAACTGAGTCCCTAGTTCCTTTGGTAAGAAAGAAGATCTTTGGAATATTTGCAGGCATACAGAAAATCCATTTCTATTTTCAAATTGTTGCCCTTTGACTGTGTTTATCTTCAGTAACTGCCTGAGTTAAGAAGACTGCCTATAAAACCAGATTCAGCTGAAGACTCGGCCAACCTCCAGTTTTGCTTAATATAGATTTCCTTTCCCCGTGCTCAAAGGACAGCCATTTTAATTCAAAAACACTATTTTTTGCAGCATAAATTTTAATACAAAAAAACTATACTAATGAAAATACTTGAATTTATGATGTGTCAGTCTCTTGGTATTTATATCATCCTTTCAATAAAAATACTTCCACCAAATGCATACAGTGCATGACTTTGTACAGAGATCTTATTTTCTTAGGACCACATGAGCACGGAAAAAAATCTAGAACCCAGCTTCTTCAACTATGGGTCCCAACCTCATAAGGGGTCATATAACTGAATGTGGAGTCGTGAAAAAAAAATGGTAAGAGTAATAGGTTTCCAAATATTAATACAAAATCAAATATGTAAGGAATCCCAGGTACTTGAGGTGGTGCTTGCCTGTGTTGTATCATGGACCTTCACTGCAGCTTTGGCTCTGAGCAAACAGCATGGGCACTTTTCAGGGCGTATGGCGTCACCCCACACAAAGTAAACAACTGCTGCTAAAATATCTTGGGTAAAACTCTATGAATTGCAGTGTTTTTAATATCACACAGGTTTTGGCTCTTACAGAACAGAAGGAATGGTTTAATTATGACAAACAAATACTTTCAGTATTTTCCTGTCATGATTCCTTAGCATGTAAATATCAAGTTATTCTATCTTTGGATTTTAGTGTGTTGGAATATTTTATTTTAAAAATGACTGCTTGAGTTGCTGACTTAAGTTTTATTAAAAAACAAAACAAAAATATTAAATAAATTTTGGCCCAAATTAGAACAGAATTTCCAATAAGTTCTAAAATGTCCCTGTACTTACGAGGTTCTTTATTTAAATATCACCTTGGCACCAGCTAGAGTCATTTGGGAAGAGGGATTCTCAACTGAGAAAATGCTTCCGTGAGACTGGTCTATAGGTGAGTCTATTGGGTATGTTCTTGATTGATGACTGATGTGGGAGGAGCCAGTCCACTATGGACAGTGTCATGCCTGGGACAGTGAGGCCTGAGTGCTATAAGAAAGTAGGCTGAACAATCCATGAAGAACAAGCCAGGAAGCAGCACTCCTCCATGGCCTCTGCTTCAGTTCCTGCCTCCAGGCTCCTGCCTTGAGTTCCTGCCCCACCTTCTCTCAGTGATGGAGTGTGACCCGAGAGTTATCAGATGAAATGAATCCTTTCCTCCCCGAGTTGTTGTTTTATCACCTCCAGAGAAACCCTAAGTCACCTGAACATCTTCCCTTCCAAGGGAGACTTTCAGCCCAGCACTAGCTCAGTCTCACAGCAGCTCTCCAGCTAACAACTTCTCTAGTGCACAGACTTTGAGAGGATATCTCAGGAACGTTAATCTTTGGGAGAGACTGGGACACTTCAGTGTATCAATGAACAAGCAATGTGTTGGGATGCCTCCTGAAATCTGAGGTTTAAACCACTGAGTAGTAGCCAGGGCTGCCATTGTGCTTCATACAGAGCAAGGATCCAGCAGTGTTCCTGGGTAAAATATCCCCTCTCATAAAGGACGCCATGCTGTATTCTCCTTCAATGACCCATGTATTCTTAATACTATGTCTGCCCCAAGAGTAGGACAAGACTCATTGAGAAGTGAATTCCCGTGCACAAAAAGATTTCTTTGCAAGAAACCATAGGTCTTTAAACTCTGTGCACTGATGGTCATGTAGCCCTTCCATCTCCCTTTATTTGTGTTTGTTTCACCAACATCCACACTTGGGACACAATGCAACACTCCACTGAAAGGCTGGATGTTTGCCACTGGCTTCCATTGTAAGTCTCTGGCAAATGTGATAAGAAATGGCAGAGATTGAAACATTCTGTTTTTCAGCGGAGGCTGTTATCCCCAGAAATTCTGGTCTAAGCGCTCTGCAAGGTAGCTTAAGTGTCAAGAGTTTTGAGGGCCTGGGAAGATAAATCAATCAATAAAGTGCCTGAGTACTGAGTATTGAGTTCAATCCTGAGAACCCATAGAGAAAAAAATTTAGTCCCAGTACTTGGGAGTCAGATGCAGGCAGATCTCTATGAGTTTGAGCCTAGCCTGGTCTAGATACCCAGTTCCAGGTCAGCCAGAGCTGCACAGTGATACCCTGTCTCCAAAACTAATAATAATAAATCCAGGCCTGGTGGCACTCACTTTGCCCTGAGGCAAAGACAGGTAGATCACTGACTAACCAGCCTGGATACTTGACCAGCCCCAGGACACTGAGAGACCCAGCATACCAAGGTAGGCACTGCCTGAGGACAACTCCCTGAGGTTAATCTCTAGCCTCTATATACACCTGAATACACACACACACACACACACACACACACACACACACACCAGCATGAGTTTTTAAATCAGCCTAGGTGATTTCAAGGGCAGGCATGGTTGGAATCACCCAATCACCGATCAATATCAGTACCTTTCCAACATAAAGGAGCGAGCATACAGATCACATAAGGAAGGCTTTTCTTTAAATGCAGATCCTGATTGAGAAATCTAAAATAGGACCCAAGAGTTTACATTTCTAAATGATCAGGAGCTGATGCAGCAGCTGGTCAGTGACGCAGACCTGGAACAGCAAGACTCCGGTAGATAACAATATATAAGGGTGGCATTGATTTCATCCGAAGACCCAAAAGGGGTATCTGCATGTAAGA